CATGTAATAAACAATCCTTCAATGATGCGAAGATCATCTTAGTAACATCTTAAAATGAATGGTGAGGATGTGGGGGTCGGTGGGTGGCTGGATGGGTGGGTGGATGGGTTGGTGGGTGGGTGGGTGGATGGGTGGGTGGAAGTGCCTGCTGTGGTGTCGTCCTCATCCTTCCTCCCTCCTCCCTCCTCCTCTCTCCTCCTCCTCCTCCCTCCTCCCTTCTCCCTCCTCCCTCCCTCCACCTTCCCTCCTCTTCGTCCCCCTCCTCATCCTCTCACCTCGTCCTCATCCTTCTTATCATTTTTCCCTCGCCTCTTCCTTCTCCCATTTCCCCCTCCTTCTCCTCCCTCTCCCCTCGCTTCCTCACTCCTCCTCCTCCTCCTTTCCCTCCTCCGCCTTCCTCGTCCAACCCAGGGGAACGACAACCGCAGGGGGTGCAAAATCGAGACCGACCTCGAGTCGCTGAAGACAGCGCTTGCCGCTGACGACCAGAAGCTGCTGGACTTCGAGCGCCAGTGCATGTCGGACTGGCAGGCCGTCCAGGCAGCGGACATCGAGGCCGCGGCTGCAGTGGCCACGGGCATCGACGCTGAGATCAAGAAGGGGCGCAGAAAGGTGAGGGCGCTGAAGGCGCTGTGGAAGCTTTGAGGCGAGCGCGCTGAGGGCGCGACAGGGTGCTGGCGAGGAGCGCTCGGAGCGCATGTAGGGGCGCGAGCACCCTGAATGCTGAGAGGCGCTGGCGCGCAAGGGGTCCGCAGGCAGGTGTGGCGTCGAGTGCGCTGAGAAGGCACTCGGTGGAAACAAGTATCCTCCACGAGCGTGGGGTGTCCAACACATCATCATCATCATCACCACCATCGTCATCATCATCAGCATCCTCAGCATCATCCTCGTCACCATCATCATCACAATAACATTCGTCACCATCATCATCATCATCATCATCATCATCATCATCATCAGAGACATCATCATAATCCCCTACATATGGTTGTGGTGGCGGTCGTGGCGGTGATGGTGTTGGTGGTGGCGATGGTGATGCTGTTTTTGTTTCGCCCCACGCTCGTGGAGGACAGCGCTAGCCCAATCTCAGCAACAGGATGCCACACGATGCCCGACATGATGCTACAGAACTGCCCAGTATCACTGGAGCGCCGACCACTTCCACGTCTCCTTCACTGTCCCCTTTTTCTGGTTGAGGACTATCTTGGCCAGCTGCCACTTGCAAGCTACATCCTCCCACGCGACGAGTTGTCAGAACGCCACACCTTGGTCAGGGTGCACTTCTTCATGTCAACTTTGGTCACTCCGTCCTGGCTCTTCGTGCTTGGCACCTTGATCGACTTCTCCGTCTTCGCTTTGCTCGGCTTTGGTGGCGCCTTGCTCGGCTTCGCCTTGCTCGGCTTCTTCGTCTTCGCCTTGCTCGGGCTTGGTGGCGCCATGCTCGGCTTCTTCTTCACTGGCGCCTTGCTCTGCTTTGGCGGCGCCTCGCTCGGCTTCAGCGGGGTCATCGCGGTGCCCGGGGCCCCGCGCGCAACGGGGCCGGGCGGAAGCTGGCGCCAACAGCAGCTAACTCAACCTCCGAAGCCAAGAAATGGCTACATATGGCGGTGGCGAGGTTGATGGCGGTGGTGACGAAGGTGATGATGAAGGTGATGATGATGATGTGTTGGACACTCCACGCTCGTGGAGGATATTTTTTGATGCAAATCAGCACCGAGCAGCAGTGCCAAAATCACAAAGCTAGTTCATAACGCAATAGCATAGCAGTCAACTGCTTGATCAGTACAACCCGTTGAACCACATGTTTATACCGTTCATTTTTCGACCCTCTCCAGGTCTTCATTGCGCAGATCATCATGGATCTTTCCCTGTAAACTTGAAGTCGAACTGGATTGATGGACGTCGATAACTTCGGAATGTGTGTGTTACTTTGTCTACTTTCGGGGTTACGTTGAAAGCATATTTGCCCTCGCGACGAGAATATTCTCTTATCTTCTGTTAAGCGCTTCCAACATCCAAACAAATCTGGCGAATGCCATCGACTCCTGCATCTGAAGGAAACGCTGGCGCGGCATACATTGCTTTGTAAAGGTCGTCCAATGAGGCGACAAAAATGCGCAACTCTCTGTCCTGACGACTTGCAGAGACACAATAATGGTGCACCAGTTCTCTGAAAAATGGCGCCCCCCTCTGGTTCTGGCTGCCTTGAAGGCTGGGCCAGCCAAACAGCCCCAACCGTCCCGAATACAATTTGACATGTTAATATGTGGGAGCTTATTCACGCCAGGCCTTTCGTCGAACAACTTTTGCCTGAAGTCGCTAACGACGGCCAGGCGCGCATCTTTGTTCTCGCCCAACCTGGCGCCCAGACACAGCCAAGTCAAAACGGATCCGTAAACTATCGGGGTAACGACTTTGCACCCCAGCAGGTGCACCGCGTCTATCGGAAAGAGAAAACGGTGGCAAAAAAAAGAAGAAGCCACCAAAGGGTGATTCGGTTCTCTTGCCCTGGCTTTGTATACGATGAAATCCATGGCCTCCCCTGGCCTCCACGCCGCGTTGGCTGACAAGTATGTGAAAAAAGGGCCTCGTTGATCTATTCGCCAACAATATGGACAGACTTCGCTACTACTGGAAAAATGAGCCAAACCAGCATCGTTGGCACGAGCATCTTCGTCGCATTTCACGAAACGTAATGCCGCGCGCCAGCGGGTGCCATCTGCGTCGCGCGCCACCTCCCTGCCATTGACCACGCCCGAACGCAGCGCCAGGAAATCGTCCAGCAAGTGGCCCCACCAGGGCTCATCGCCCCCGCCGCCCCTTGGCTGCACGTGCGATGCGCAAGCAAACTTCGTAACTTTAGCATCGCCGATGCCAAGCAAAGGTGCGCAACTCACGGCGTAACAAGCGTTTGGTTTAGAACATGGACGAGCGTCTGCATGGAAAGTGAACGGTATGACTGTCTCCAGACAAGTGAAATCCTTTCCGCCAACGATAGGATGATAATGTCGGACGTCCTGGTTAGCAGGCCTGCTAAGAAACTGTTGCCAGAACGTGCGTAGCTTCCCCCTTTTCTGCGCCGAGACGCGTTTCGAATTCTGGGGGGAACTCATGCAAAATACCGATCCAAGTGGAAGGCAAAATAGCATGAGTAACAAAGTCTCCTGGGAAATGTGAAAGCTTCTGCGGCACGCCGCATGTCCCCAGCAAACTGATCAAAGAAGACTGAGCGTGGTGCCCCCCCGTGCAATCCAGACAGCCAGCTGAGCATTGGATGCTCGAGCCCGTCAGCTCTTCCGTCAGCGGCCAATGACTGCAGCCTCGGTGCAGAGATACGCCTTCGCTCCACGAAAGCAAATGGCTGCCAAACAAACTGGAGATCTTCGGGGGCCGAAGGTTGTCACCAGGAGCAGGATGATGCAGCTGTTCATCCGCTTGGCGCATGCGCCATCCCCCTCTGCGCCGCGGCGCGGGGGCAGGCAAAGGCGCCCACAAAGGCGCCAACATGGTCTCTTTGAACCAAAGGGGCTACGGAGCAAAATTGTAGGGTGGTGTTGATGTTGGTGGCCACCGCACGCTCTCGTGGACGAATCATAATTTTGTACGATTTCACTCTACGTCGTCTCATCGTGATCGTCATCATCATCGTCATCGCCATCCAACATATACATAATCTAAAGAAGATGTGATAGTCGAGATTATAAAATTACGTGTTTAGCATAATCAGCATATGGTTAACAATTAACTTGTTTTGTAATATCTTTACGCATGCAAAATCATGCGGCGTGTTATGCTGTAAATGTCTACGACTTTCTTCGTTTGCAGATAACGGGGCGCATGTTTAACATACGCGTACTCTTACCAACGATTTATTTTCCTAAGCTGTCTGGGCTACTGGGCGAGGGGGTCAGAGGAGGAGGCACGTCGTCCCCGGCGGACGGCGGCGGGAGGCCTGCGGCAGGCGGCGGGGGCCGACCACGGGGAAGGGCCCCGCCGGCGGAAGGCCGGCGGAGGCCCGCGGGCGCAGCGCATGGCGCCTCCAAGGTCGGCGGCGAGCGAGGGGCCTTCGCCCTCTCTTCGGGGGGAGCCAGCATCGGGAAGCGAACGCTATTAGGGGAACAAAAAATGACGTAAACATAAAAGCGCGGAGGTCCGCGCGGATTTCTCGGATCGGCGCTGGGGCCCCCCGGCGGCGCCTCCGGCGCCGCCCATGGCGCGCTCCGCGCGCCAGGGAGGGGGGTCCAGCGCCGATCCCAGAAATCCGCGCGGACCTTCGAGTTTTTTCTGTGTTCCCCTAGCTATACCCCGACGCTTTTGTCAGCCCTGCACCGAAATTTGCACAGGAAAGTGGATCCTGGTGTATACGGCATCCTGGTTTACACATTGTTCGGTGTTTCCCCAGGAAGCGGAGAAAGAAGTATACACCACACCACTCCGACGTCCTCCCTGACCCTCAGAAAATCCGGGGATTGATAAACAGCCCGCCACACTGGTAATGTATATGCTCCAATTTCCTACAACATGTACCGATACCGCTAACTACTTCCCAGACCTCTCCCAGGGTGCGTTCTGACCAGGAGCTCGGAGCGAGTCCAGCGGTGGCGGCGAGGGCTATACCCAGGAGACCCAAAAACGGGAAACACAAGGGAAGGGTAGAGGTATGGGCACCTGCTCCTCCTCCGAGTCCTACTTCCCCCCCTCGCTCGCCGCCGACACTTCGGTGCACCGCCAAGGAATCAAAAACACGCTTCTGCGGCTGCTCAAGTCGGCTACACGCAAGAGTGACCCTGGGTAAGAGTGACCCTTGGTGCGCGGCTTTTGGGGGGCCGCGGGGGGACCAAACTCAGGCGCGCAAGGCGCTACTATCGCATCGCACTAGGTGATCCGGGGACCCCATTGTGCCCGCACCAAAAGTCACTCCGGCGAAAGGTCACTCTTACGTGTAGTCAATCAAGCGGGGGAGCGGCCGCCGCCCCCGGCCCAGGCGCGCGCGGGGGCACGTCCCCGCGAGCAGGCCGTACTGCGCCGGCAGCGCCGGGAGCACGAGCCCGGCCGCCCCCGCCGGCAGCGCGGAGGTGACGAGGCGGGCGGCGAAGAGCGCCTGCAGCACGACGGTCACCGGCCTCCGCGCCCCCCCGGAGGCAATGCGTGGTCTGCGCGCGGCCCCGCACACACCCAGAGAGCCGACGACGCTCCCCAACACAGGTCTGGAGCAGGCGGTGGGGGGCCACCTGCGGCCTCTGGGGGCCGAGCGTCAAAGCACTTGTTGGGGGTCTGCGGGGCGGCAGCGGGCCCCTTCCGGTCAAGAGCGAAACGGGACGCGGGTAGCCCTACCCTGACCTTCCAAGAGGGCTAAAAAAATAGCACGCGACTTAAAAACCTACCCCAAGGCTATTCTACGTCTTGGTTTTAGGCAGTTTCGCTCCGTTTTTTAGGCTTCTAGGTCTCCAGTGCTAAAACATAGCTCTCTGGAAGGTCAGGGTAATTGGGGGGACAGGGCGCGGGCGGGCGGGGCCCCAGGCGGCCGGAGGGCTCCGAAAACGGGCGGTGCCGAAGATCTTGCACAAGGGAGCGTCAAAACACGCCTCGGGGCGAAACACCGGCCCTGGGGAAGTGGCGTGGGCCTCGGGGGCCCACGCATCAGAGAAAAAGCAGAGCAGCCGGATGTCTGTGCAGCCCGCCCGTGATCCTGGCGTTGCAATCTTGTCGCCACGGGCGCGCTCGCCTGGTGAATCGGGCCCCTGGTGAATCGGGCCCCTCGGGGCCCTCACGGAGGGATCCGACTCGAGACATGGCTCAGAAAGATGAGGCCCAGAGCTCTGGGCATGAATTGTAGATGTGTTTCTGCACCTGGTGAGCTCTGACATCCAGACCCTACTGCCCCACCTACCATCGTTTTGTCCTGAATCTACGGAAGCCCAGGGTAGGTTTTAAGGACACAAGCAGTGACATAAAAATAAAAACTCGGAGGTCCGCGCGGATTTCACGGATCGGCGCTGGACCCCCCTCCCTGGCGCGCGGAGCGCACCAGGGGCGGCGCCGGAGGCGCCGCAAGGGGGCCCCAGCGCCGATCCCAGAAATCCGCGCGGACCTCCGAATGTTATGTTTGTCATTGTTTGTCCCCCTCGGTTTCGGATTTCGCCCCTCCGCCTCCTCGTTCCTCCACCGCCCGCCTCGTGTCCAGAGCCTGTTGCAGGGTCATCAGCTCGTCTTTGTCGTTGTCGTCGTTGTCGTCGTCGTGGTCGTCGTCCTTCTGGGTCGGCGACACCAGCCGCAACGCCTTCACAAAACAGGAGGACCAAGAGGAATCGAGGCAAAGGGGGATGGACAGGGGAAAGGCGAGAAGAGGATGAGAATGAGGAGGAACAGGTGGGCGCAACGCTCAGACTTCATTCGCTCCAGAATCGCAATCCGCAAAGCGAGCGCAGTCCACAAGATGGCTCAGCCTGGAGGGACTGGCCGCAGAGTGCGCAGCCCTCCTTATGAGAGAACCAACAGAGAGGTACGACCATGACATTCAAGGGCATGTCAAGCGATAATAGCGTTTTGAGAAGGACATGCCCTCTATCCGCGTAGGCGTTGACTTCAAGATGTTGACATCAAATCCAAGGAACTCCCAAACGATAACCACATTGAAAGAAATAAGCCGCCCTCCAGCCGTGCAACTACCGCACAAGCTTGAACATCGGTTTGCACGTGTGGGGGGGGGGAAATCTGGGGGCGGGAGCCCATCCGTGTGGCTGTTAGATTTGTTTAGTGTGCGTGGCGCCCAAGCGAGATACTCATTTTGAAAACGCACCGCCAGCCGTGTACCAGTTGAGATTGCTTCGAACGCGCATGTGGTATGCGCGCGACGCCGAGGCGAGAGCTCCATTTTGAGAAGCACCCGTGGTCCAGAGTTTCCAATCTTCGAGACCCTTGCTCCGGTAAGGGCCGAGCAATCGACAACACCGTGGAAGCAGAGGAGCCCATCGGATCCAACGCAGTGCCCCAAACTGCAGTCCAACTGCCTGGCTGCCCCCTGACATGCTCCCTGCCCAGTAGCCAGCCAGTTACGCATGCCGCGCTCGTCGTGCTACCCCCCCCTTCCTTAGGGGAACGAAGAATGACATGAACATAAAGACTCGGAGGCCCGCGCAGATTTATCGGACCGGCGCTGGACCACCCGCCCTGGCGCGCGGAGCGCGTGGGGTCCAGTGCGAATCCGAGAAATCCGCGCGGACCTCCGAGTTTTATCGAGGATTTATGTTTATGTCACTGCTCGTTCCCCCTGCTCCCCCCCCGCGGGTCCCTTCCCATCTCTCCAGCTCCGGCTCCGACTCCGACTCCACATGAGACGCGCGCCTTCGTCCCGCAAGGGCAATAAAAGCGGGCCCCGGCCCACCCGCGCTGCCCCCAAGGCGCCTGCTGGCCGACCGGCCGGCGGACTCGGCGCGCTCCTTCCTTCCTCCTCCTCCTCCTCCTCCTCCTCCTCCTCCTCCTCCTCCTCCTCCGCCTCCTCCGCCTCCTCCTCCTCCTCCTCCTCCTCCTCCTCCTCCTCCTCCTCCTCCTTCCCCCCCCCGGTGCGGCCGCAGAAATTCGCACGACGCGAACGTCAGCGCCGCCAGGCGGTGCTTGCCCTGGGCTGCCAGCCGCAGGGCGGCGGGCCTGAGAAGTCCTCCCGGGGCGAGGCGCGGCGCCGGGCGAGACGCGGGACGGGGGGGGGAGGAGGAGGAGGAGGAGCAGGAAGAGGGGGAGGAGGAGGAGGAGGAGGAGGAGGAGGAGGAGGAGGAGGAGGAGGAGGAGGAGGAGGAGGAGAGGAGGAGGAGGAGGAGGAGGGGGAGGAGGAGGAGGGGGAGGAGGAGGAGGTGGACTGTCTGCTCTCTCTATCACAAGGGTTCCGCAACCCCACGGGGCCAGCGCATGGAGCGTGATAGAACACTAGCAGGGCTGGAAGGAGGAGGGGCCTAGGCCTAGTGTTAGGTCGGGCGTGTCCATCTACAGGCAGATTTTGGGCGGCTAATGCAAGTAGTCCAAACACCTTCAAATCATGCTTGTAACAAATACTCAAACATCGTACCAAGACTATGTTTTGACTCTTCTTGAATATCCCTCCTGTGGAAGGACACGCCCGACTTAAGCCTAGTGGGACTGGCGTGAGGCTCAGTGGCTCGAGCTGGAAGGCATCGGCCTCGAGGGGACCCCTGTCGACGGGGGAACGATAGTCGGGGAACGCGCAAACATGGATTTTGGGGAGGGCACCTGGTGCCCTCCCCAAAATGCGGCCCGTGCCGCCTCGTTCGGCGTCGGGAATCCTCGATTGCCCATGAGAACGGGACCCGTCGCTAACCCACGCTCCTTGATCCATGTTTCCGATCGCCTCAGATAGGGGAGGGGAGGGGGGGCAGCTCGGGGGGGAATACCATCGAGCGTGAGTCGACGACACGTCGATGGCGGATCGACGATGGGGCCCCGAACGAGAGCGCACCCCCACTTCCTCATCGCTCCCCTCCTCCTCCTCCTCCTCCTTCTCCTCCTCCTTTCCACCTCCTCCTCCTCCTCCACCTCCTCCTCCTCCTTTTCCTTTTCTTCCTCCTCCTCCTCCTCCTCCTCCTCTTCCTCCTCCTTTTCCTCCCCTTGAACCCATCCCCCCCAGATGTTACGGTTCCTGGACTTCGGGCCGCAGCCCAGCTTCCCGGCGGCCGATCGGGACGATGCGGACACCCCTGGAACGACCTCGGCGAGGCGCAGCGTCTTGGAGGCATCCCGGAGCTGGAAGGCCGACGAGGCCAGGCCAAAACCGTCCGAAAACCTGCCGCTGTCATTGGACGATGAGTGGGCGATGGGGAGTCGATGCTCCCACCCTCCTGAGCCAGTCCCGCGCCACGAGGAAGGGGGGGGTCCTCGAGGCGCCCTGGAGTGGGAAGGCTCGGGCGGGCCACGGGGACGCCCTGCAAGCCCCTGCCCCTGCGCGCCCACAGACGCGGTCTCTGGACGCTACTGGGAGGCCTGTGGAGACCATGGAGGCCCGCGGGAGGTCCTGGGCGCCTCTGGAGGCGCGAGGCCTCCGGAGCTTTGTGGGCCCTGGAGACGGCAGGGCCGTTTTTTCACCGTTTCCAAAAACATGTCCCTTGAAAAACGGCAAAGAAACGGCGACCGGAAACGGCAACAAAAACGGATCCAGGATTGGAACCGGAGCCGGAACCGGTCAAAGAACGGCGACGGAACCGGTAAAAAAAATGCGTCGGAACGGGCAAGGAAACGGCAGAACGGAACCAATAAAAAACGGCCCTGTCGTTTCCAGGGCCCACTAAGGCGTAGCCGAACGGAGGGATCAGGGAAGAGAGGGCGGACATATACACACAGCGGCGGGGCGGGCAGCGGGCAGCTAGTGAGCAGCGGCGAAGGGAAACGAGAAAGAAGAGGAGGAGGAAGAGGAGGAGGAGGAGGAGGAGGAGGAGGAGGAGGGAGGAGAAGGAGGAGGGGGAGGAGGAGGAGGAAGAGGAGGAGGAGGAGGACCAGGAGACGAAGAACGCGGAGGAGCTGCCAAGACGGCGGGTGCGCTACTTACTCCCGCATTTTACGTGGGGGGAGGGGGGGCGTCGAGGATCGGAGAGGCAGTGGCTGGCTGGGCATATCTGGAAAGTCCGACTCGTGGGGAAATCAACGCCGCGAGGCAATTCACGAGGAGAACTCTCGGACCACCATCTTCCCGCGGTGCCTCACAGACTGAGCCGGTCCGCGAAGAGCCCCTGGGCTTTGTGGGCCCCGGAAACGGCAGGGCCGTTTTTTCACCGTTTCCAGAAAAATGTCCCTTCAAAATGGAAGCGGCAAAAAAACTACTACCGGAAACAGCAACAAAAACTGCTCCAGGATCGGAACCGGAGCCGGAACCGGTCAAAGAACGGCGACGGAACCGGTAAACAAATAGCGTCGGAACGGGCAGAAAAACGGCAGAACGGAACCGGTAAAAAAACCGGCCCTGTCGTTTCCAGGGCCCACTAAGGCTGCGGGTGCATGGGGAGGGCGGTCCGTTCACGCGAGTCGCCAGGGCACTCGGGCTGAGGAACCACAATATCGTGCACGCGGAGAACGCCCAGAACATGAGCCGGTGCACCAAGGACGGGATCGGCACGCGCCTTCCCTCCGTGCCTCTCTGCCGTCTGCTGCCCTGCCCCCACACCGTGCCCTCCGTGCACATCTCCCTCCTCCACCCCTGCCCGGTTCCACCCGCCCTCTCCCAAACCGCTTCCCTCGTCCAGCGCTCATCCTTCTCCTCTTCCTCCCCCTCCCTCCACCTCCTCTTTTCCACCCTCCTCCTTCCCGCCTGCTTTTTGTTGCTCTCTCTCTCTCTCTCTCTTTCTTCTCTGTCACTCTCTCTCTCTCTCTATCTCCTATCCCTCTCCCTCTGTCTCTATGTCTTGTCTGCCCCTCTCTTTTTCACTCACCCCTCCTCTCTTCTCAACCCTGGTCTGTCGTTCATCGTCCCTCCTCCATCCTCGTCCCTGGTCTCTCGCCCCTCGTCCGCCGCCTCTCGCATATCGCCCTCCGTGCAATCTCTTCCTCCTGCTCCTGCTCCTGCTCCTGATTCTCCTCCTCCTCCTCCCTGAGCAGCCGCGCAGACATGGTTGATAATGTGGCATGCCGCGGGACCCACGCTCTGCAGGCGAGCCCACTCCAACCGAGCTCAGCGAAATTTTTGATATGTCCTCCTCTCTATGCCCTATCCTCCTTCCCTTTGCGTCCTCCCACTCCCTCCCTGCCCCTTTCTCTTCGTTTTCTGCTCCTCTGCAGCTCCCCTCTCGCCCTTTCCTTCACTCTTCCTTCCAGGGCTGGTAAGGCTTGTCATTCCTCAGTGCCTCTGCTCAGGCCTACGATGAACTTTACTTCCGATCCGATTCGACCCCTCCTCGTGCATCCCCCCTCCCCCTTCCAGCCCCTCTCCCCGTCCTCCCCGCCCCCCCTCCCGCGTCCTCCCCGCCCCCTCCCCATGGGCAGCGCGCTCAGCCAGGCGCGCAGCGCAAGGGAACTGGCGCAGCCCGTCGGTGCCAGGTAGCGCCCCCCCCGGGATCGGCCGCCGTTTTGTGTCCGTCTTTTGCTTTGTCCTCCTCCTCCTCCTCCTCCTCCTCCTCCTCCTCCTCCTCCTCCTCCCCGAGGTCCTCCTCCACTTGCCCTAGAGGGGCGGCTAGATGCCCTAACAAGAATGCAGGCCTGGCCTGTATGCCCTGGGGAAGGCGGGGCCGAGATGGAATTATCTGTCGCTTCGTGTCTCCACAGTCTCGGTTTCGACGGTACAGAGGTCGAGCGGGCCACACACGAGGAGTAGCCGCCAGCTCGGTAAGAATACTTCACTGCTGCAGGATCACCATTTAGGGAGCTGCTCGAATCCAGTCTTGTCAATGCTCATGGGTGACCCAATGTGGAGACAGGAGCTAGGTCCAGCGCTATGATGGGCAACGCTGGTGATTCTGAACAGCGGCGAAAGGTGAGAGGAGAGATCGTTGTTACATAATCCGAATCAGTTCGACTCGCCAACCCCGTGCTGTCCAAGGTACCCAAGACCGGAAGTCTAAAAGACCAGTCCGGGGCCTCACCATTCCTCCCTCCTCCCCCTCCTCCTCTCATCATCATCATGATCATCAGCATCAGCATCAGCATCAGCACCAGCATCAGAATCAACATAAACATCATCATCATCATCTCTCCTCCTCAACTCCTTCCGTTTCCTTCTCCTCCCACAAGTCCCTGCTCCTCCACCTGCTCCTGCGCCCTTTCTCGACATCGTTGAACTCCTTCCTGTCCAACCGCGTTACTGCAAGTCGGTTCCCTTCCTTTGATCCCTTCCCTGCAATAGGAGGGGGGGGGGCGGGAAAGGGGGGAGGGGGGGCCCGTGTCAAAAAAAACTACCCCCTCCCGAGGCCCTCGCGGGTCCTTGGGGAGCCTGTTATTTTTTGGATTCAGGCAAGTTTACGTGCATGGCGTTTGCCCCCCCCCCCCCCCCCCCCTCCCCTCCCCCCCTCGCCCCTCTTCAAGCGAATGCTAGCGTGCAAGTGCCTTTCGACTTGCGTGATTTCCGCGCCCCCCCACCCCCCGGGCTTGCTTCAGGCTCAGCCCCCCCCCCCCCATCCATGCAAGTAAACTTGCCAGAGTCTAAAAAGAACAGGCGCGGGGGGGGTCGGGGCGGGTCCCCGGCGGGGTCGCGAGCGGGGGTCCCCCGGGAGGTCCCGCCTTCAGGGTCCACGGCACTGGCCGCAAGGCCTGCGCAAGCGATCCGCCATGTCGCACCCCCCGAGGTGCGGTGGGGAGGGCTGGGCGTTTCGCCTCAGACTTCCCCATCTTTGTGGGCCCCAGAAACGGCAGGGCCGTTTTTCCAACGTTTCCAGAAAAATGTCAATTGAACATGGAAACGGTGGGGTGCGGTGGCCGAGGTGCGGTGGGGAAACAATTGAACATGGAAAATTGTCAATTGAAAAAGTGCCGAGGTGCGGTGGGGAGGGCCTGGGCGTTTTGCCTCAGACTTCCCCCCCACCTGTGATCCTGAAGCTCGAGACTTGCAGCAGTTTCGCAGTTTCGAAGACGGCGGGTGCGCTGCTTACTCCCGCATTTTACGTGGGGGGAGGGGGGGCGTCGAGGATCGGAGAGGCAGTGGCTGGCTGGATCTGGAAAGTCCGACTCGTGGGGAAATCAACGCCGCGAGGCGAATCACGAGCGGAGCTCTAGGACCACCATCTTCCCGCGGTGCCTCACAGACTGAGCCAGTCCGCGAAGAGCCCCTGGGTTTTGTGGGCCCCGGAAACGGCAGGGCCGTTTTTTCACCGTTTCCAGAAACATGTCCCTTGAACATGGAAACGGGAAAAAAAACGGCGACCGGAAACGGCCAACAAAACGGCTCCAGGATTGGAACCGGAGCCGGAACCGGTAAAAAAACGGCGACGGAACCGGTAAAAAAACGGCGTCGGAACCGGCAAAAAAAAGGCAGAACGGAACCGGTAGAAAAACGGCCCTGTCGTTTCCAGGGCCCACTAAGTGATTCCCCACCACCTGTGATCCTGAAGCTCGAGACTTGCAGCAGTTTCGCGGGGTCGAACGGCGGGTTGTTCTCAAACGCTGGCTGTCGCACTACAGTTGGGGCGTTGACTTCAGGAACCCTAAGTAAGGAACGAGGCCCCTTTCGCCCATAAGTTGAACTTCGATTCCCCAGGGAAAACCTCAGGAAAACAGAAGGCAAACTGAAGAACAATCAAGGAACACCGAGCCCCTCCCCAACGAAAAGGATTCCTTCTTCAGCGCCCCGACTGTAGTGCCGCGCACATGCGCCGCAACGTTCGCAGCGGCTTCGAGGATGGAATGAGGCTGGTTTTCCACGTGTGGCGGCTACCCGCAGCGCCACGCACGCTCGCACGAAGACTCTGCAACTGTTCCACTGGCCATCGCTCGGACGTCCATTCCCTGTGTTTTTGTTAGGTTTCGTGCGTGGTCTTTTCGCCAAATGATCAAGGATGCTCCTCGACGGTCCTCGCCGGAGGGAAAATGCACACGTCCGAGCGATGCCAAGTTCCAAGGGTGGAGGGCGGCACCTTTTTCAAAATGTGGCTCTCGAACCCGCGCCGCGCAGATTCGTAGTACACTTCGACAGCAAATGGAGGGATCCGGATGGGAGAAATACCGGGATCGGTGGCCTGGCACGATTTAGGGCCGTCAGGGTGCAACAGTAAGGTTGGTTTGCGGTGCCGAAGTCTCAGGGATTGTATTCTGGCACGGTTTGGGGAAGTCACATCGATGCGCGGAGTTGCAGTCCCACGAATGGTGTTGTAGAGCAAATGCGGACGCTCGGACGGTTGTTTTCGAACGGGCCGCCTTCCGCAACGAATCCATACATCGATATGCACATGTATGTATACATATATATATATATATGTATAGATAGTCACACTTTATGTTTACACGCACGTATCGTATATATATATGTATGTATACATAGAGATATGTATATATATATATATAGAGAGAGAGAGAGAGAGTCACCTGCAGAAGAAATAACCTGGAGGGATGGCGCACTGCAGCATCACTGGCTCGTCGTGTGTGTGCTCGCTGGGCCTCCTCCCTGCGCTGCGGCGCTCCGCGCGCTCCCCGAGGGAGCACCCTTCGCCCGCCGAAGCGCCGCGCTCCGCCGCGGAGCGCGGCGGAGCGCGGCCGCGTGGCGCGCGAGCGCGCGAGGGCGAGCGAGCGAGCGAAAGCGGGCGGCGGCGGCCCCAACCGGCGACAGAGGCAGCGGCGGGCAGGCGAGAGCCAGCGGAGCCTCCTCTTCCTCCTCCTCCTCCTCCTCCTCCTCTCCTCCTCCGCCACCTCCTCCCTCCTCCTCCTCCTCCTCCTCCTCCTTCCTCCTCTCTTCTTCCTCCTCCTCCTCCTCCTCCTCCTCCTCCTCCTCCTCCTCCTCCTCCTCCTCCTCCTCCTCCTCCTGCCCCTCCCTCCCCGAGGGGGCCCTCCCGGCACACTCCCGCTCGGGAGAGGGCACTGCCACGGCCGCGGCGACCGGGGGACGGCAGGGAACACAACACACAGACAGAATTCATCGTCGATCCCAAAGAAAATATGGGAAAATATTGGAATTTTGCGGGAAGACGAACATCCAGAAAGAATGGGAAAATATGGGGAACATTCTGATTTGTGTGAATTTATTTGTGTGTCCTTGGGCCCCTTGAGGGGGGGGGGCAGCCGCAGGGCAACAACAAAACTAACCCCAGGGCGGGGGGCGAGGAATTCGTCGTCCGTGGTTGTGGTTGCGTTAGGGAAACAACGAGTGACATAAGCATAAAAACTCGGAGAGCCGCGCGGATTGCTCGGATCGGCGCTGGACCCCCCTCCCTGGCGCGCGGAGCGCGCCAAGGGCCGCGCCAGGAGCCGCGCGGACCTCAGAGTTTTTATGTTTATGCTATTTGTTGTTCCCCTATGTGTGTTCTCGCCCTTTTTTCCTCCATGGTTTCTCCCCAACTCGGCTTGCCTAAAGGGGCTCTTGCGTGCTTGCAGGCTGGTGCCTCCTATTGAAAGTTTGCCGGTTGCTTGGAGGTTCCTCGGGTTCCTAGGGTTCCCCGCGTTCCTCGGGTTCCTCCCCCCCCCCTGGTGCCTCCTAACTTCGCCATTTCCCAGAGGTTCCTCGGGTTCATCGGGTTCCCCGCCCCCAGTGCCTCCTTTTGTTACTTTGCCCGTTTCCCAGAGGTTGCTGGGGCTCCCTGGGTTCATCGGGTCGTCCGCCCCTGTTGCCTCGTATTCTTACGTTGCCCGGTCCTCGGAGGTTCCTCGTGTTCCCCGGCTTCCGCGCTTCCGCGGTCTGGTACTTTGATTTGACTCCTCGGGTTCTCCACTCTTCTTTCCCGGGTCCCCCGGTATTGCCAAATGACGCCAAGCGATACCAAGCAACGCCAATCCATGCAAAGCAATGCCCACCCATGCACAGCAATGCCACGCAATTTCAAGCAGTGCCAAGCAATGCCAACTAATTTGGCGGCGCGCACAAGGGGGTGAGGGGAGGGGGGAGGGCTTCTTAGAAGCAGGCTGCTTCTTAGAAGGCGCCGGCCTTACGTCTATAGATAAGGCCGGCGCCTTCTAAGAAGCAGGGGTGCTTCTAAGAAGCCCTCCCCCCTCCCCCCACCCCCCTCTGCGCGTGGTGACTAATGCAAAGCGATGCCGAGCAGTGCCACGCAGTGCCAAGCAACAACGCCAAGCGATGCGCCCATGCAATAGTCTTGCCCCTACTCTGGGTCGCGCCAAGTTCCTTTTGTTGTCGGCTTTCTTCCCCTGAAGCGCTTGTCTGTAATGCTGGATGACGATTCATAGAAAATGGGAGAGAACGATTAAACAAAATAGCTTTCCGCTATTTCTGTACAATTTTCTGACTGGAGGAGAACGATTAAAAGAATAGTTTTCTGGCCCGCGGCCGGTTTTTTCTAATCGTCATTCTGGGCGCCGCCGCGTGAACACGACCCCCGGTCATTTATTAATCGTCATCCTCCAGTAGGGGTCCAGTGCGCTGCTTCTGACAAACCAAATTCAATGGTATTTAGAACCTTATGCCGCGAGGGTGTGCAATCATCATTCCATCGTAAGGAACGCATAACAAGAAACGAGGGGGCTGTTCTGACCACGGCGGGCCTAGGCCACAAACAGGTCCCACGCCACAAATCTAAGGAACGGCCCGGCAATCCGAGCCCCTCCTGAGCTCAGAGCGGTTCTTACTCTGTCAGCCTCTCGACGGCACCTCGCCGTCCCTCGGACGTCCAGTCCTCGTGCGTAAAAGTCGGCTTCGTGCGTGCGTCTTTTCTGCCCAAAGGACCCGAAAAAGATCCTCGATGGTCCTCGCCGAGAACAGAAGGACACAAGAAGGCACAAACATAAACTTCTGGCGCTCCGCGCGGATTTCTTGAATCTGCGCCGGACCCCTCTTCCCTGGCGCGCTCCGCGCGCCAGTTGCGGCGCTGGAGGCGCCGCCGGGGGGCTCAGCGTGGATCTGGGAAATCCGCGCGGAGCGCCAAGAGTGTATGTTTGTGGCGGTTTTTCTCCGTCTCAGTGTATGTGATGGTCCTCGCTGAGAGCACGTGCACGCGTCCGATCGGCTACGCGCAAGAGTGACCCCGGATAAGAGTGACCTTTGGTGCGCGGCTTTTTGGGGACCGCGGGGGGCCCAACACAAGCGCGCAAGACGCTACTATCGCATCGCGTTTGGCGACCGGGGGACCCCATTGTGCCCGCACCAAAGGTCAAACTGGCGGAAGGTCACTCTTACGTGTAGCCGAGGAGAGCACGTGCGCGCGTCCGAGCGGTGCCAGGCTGTCCTGCTTGATCCCGGGCGCTTGGAGCGCACGCCTGGTGCCCAGCTGCCCTCGCCCTCGCCCCAAACACCCGCAGAGGAGGGGGTGGGCGCACAACCTGCTGGGCAACGCTTGGAACCCTCGTAGGACGACCGCCTGCTCCTGGCGGGGCAGGCTCGCCTACACTCAAATCGGGCATGTCTTCCTGCAGGCGGATTTTGGACGAAGAACCAAAACAAGTCAACATACATTCAAAAATCGTCCCCAGAATATTTCCTGACAATTTCTGAATATTCCTCCTGTAGAGGGACAGGCACGAATCTAAGACTACACGCAGGAATGACCCTGGGAAACAGTGGCCTTTGGTGCGCGGCTGTTTGGGGGCCGCGGGGGGGCCGAGCACAAGCACGCAAGACGCCACTGACGCATCGCGTGCGGCGATCGGGGGAACCCTCTGGGCCCGCACCAAAGGTCACTCTGGCGAAAGGTCACTCTTACGGTTTCTTACGTGTGTAGTCAACACGCATAATGATGCGCGGTAAGGGTGCAAGGTCCTTGGAAGGCCATTACGAAGCTTTTCGAGAGGGGCGCGGCCTACGAAAGTGACGAAGGATGGGCCGAGGAAGCAAGGATGCAAGGGTACCCTGGGGAAGGTTGCCCGTCCCTGCTGTGCAGGTTGACCGTAGTCGACAAGCTCGGGGTAACCAATAGGGAAACCAATAGGTAGCGATACCGCTACTCCCTGGACGCCCCCAGGGTGCATTCTCACACTGATTTCGGGGCGAATCCAGCAGTTGCGACGAAGGCCTCCCCCGAGGCACCCCAAAACGGCGAAAACGAGGCCAGGACAGCGGTGTGGGCACCCCTTCCTCCTCCGAAGGCTGCACCCTCGGCACAAACCTGCGCGCCACCGTCACTCCTGGGCCATGCCAGCTCGGACGCTCCCGACCTGTCCATGTCCACCTCGTCGTCGTCGTCGTCGTCGTCGTCGTCGTCGTCGTCGTGGTCGTCGTCGTGGTCGTGGTCGTGGTCGTCGTGTCGTGGTCATGGTCGTGGTCGTGGTCGTGGTCGTGGTCGTGGTCGTGGTCGTGGTCGTGGTCGTGGTCGTGGTCGTGGTCGTGGTCGTGGTCGTGGTCGTGGTCGTGGTCGTCGTCGTCGTCGTCGTCGTCGTCGTCGTCGTCGTTGTCGCAAACTTGCACGAGCCCCGCCCCGCCCCGCCCCGCCTGACCAGCTCGGGCGCGAAGGCGACCGCCAGCACCACCTGGCGGGTGCCGGACCGCCGCCTGCCACCCCTGCCAGCGCGCTCCCGGCAAGACGGGCGCGCGGCCCCGCGGCAGGCCCAGCGAAAACGCGGCCCAACGAATCGTCGGGGCCCTCTGAAAAGCCCCCAGAAGGCGCCCAAGACGCCCACGGGAAGCTTCCCAGAGGCCCCCACGAAGGCCCCGAAGCAGCTTCCCGCGAAAAGGCCCCGGAAGGCCACCAAGACGCCCCCCCGAAAAGAAAACCCAGAGGCTCCCCCCCCCCCCCCCTCCAGAACCCCCCCCGAAGAGGCATCCCGCGGGCCCCCGGGATGCTCCAGGAGCCCCCAGGGAGAGGCATCCCGAGAGGCCCTCAGCTGCACCCCGCACGCTCCCGGCCCAGGATATGGCCTCCACGATCGCCCCAACACACGACCGCCCCAGATGTGGGCTTCCGCGACCGCGAGGGTCGGCGGAGTGGCGACCGCCAGCACCACCCGACGGGGGGCCCGACCGCCGGCCGCCGCCCCAGCGAGCGCGCTCCTGCCGGGACGGGCGCGCGGCTCCGCGGCGGGGCAGGCGAAAGCGCGCTGTGGGGGGAGGGGGGGGAGGCAGGGAGGCAGGGAGGCAGGCAGGGAGGCAGGGAGGGAGGGAGGGGGGGGCGGGCAAGCTAGGTGCGCTCGCGTCATATCTGACATCCTACCCCTCCCTCCCATCCCTTACCATGGCGCAGATGCCCTCTCTACTCGCTCAGTCGGATGTCGAGCAGGGCAATGATCCCGAAAGGGTACGCGATGCATTGTAGAGCACGGCGTGGCATGGCGTAGAAGAGCACCGTAAAGCGTAGCATCAACCTGCATTGCATTGCATGCCGTGGCATGGCACGGGAAATGACGCCAGCGCTGCAGCCGGAGCACGAATCGAAACGATCGGAAGCGCGGAAATGAGGCCAGCGCTGCAGCGGGAGAGCGATTCGGAACGAGCGGAAGCACGGAAATGAGGCCAGCGCTGCAGCGGGAGCACGATTCGGAACGAGCGGGGCCCGAAAATGAGGACGGCGCCTCAGCGAGAGCAGCATTTTGGAAACAAATGCAAGCGAAAACCCAACTCCGGGGAAACCTGTGTAAAAAACAGTACGCGGGGGGGGGGTCGGCCACTTTCAAACCGTCATCAGGGGAAGAGGGAGAGTAGTATTCAGATTGAACAATTTGGAGGGAGGGAGGGCTCGCTCGCTCCACGTCGGCATCGCACGGCTCCGCGCTCGCCAGGGCACTCGTAGGCACGCGAGGCGCGCACACAGGTGGGACCACACAGAGGAGAGAGAGAAGGAGGAGGCGGGGCCTAGGCGAGGCGGTCGATCCATGCCCCTTGCCTGGCCTGCTCTTGCCTTCGGGCCGCCCGCTCCCCCAGGGCGGGGCTCGCAGGAGGAGGGAGGAGGAGGAGGCGCGCTGGTCCTGGCCTTCCTCGGAGCCGCGGCGCGCTCAGAGCACGCACGTGCGGCGCGCGGGCTCGGCTGGCCGCGATCCCGGCCAGCTGATGGGTGCCTTCCCCCTCTGAGCCTGTCCTCTCCTGTCGTGGCCCCTGGCTCCCCAGTTAGGCCTGCCTAGTGTGCTCTCACTTGGTCAAAGCTTGGTGCCTCCTATTGATGCTTTGCCCGTGGCTCGGAGGTCCCTCGGGTTGCTGGGGTCTCCCGTCCCTGGCGCCTCCCATCCCGTAAGGCTTGCCTGAGGGGTTCGCTTACGTTGTTGAAGCTTGGTGCATGGTATTCTCGATGTACCCGTTCCTCGGATGTTCCCCTGGTTCCCTGGGCTCTTCGGGTTTCCCGCCCCCAGTGCCTCGTATTCTTACGTTGCCCGTTCCCCCGCGAGGTTCCTCGGGTTCTCTGGGTTCCTCTGGTTCCCCGCCCCTGGTGCCTCGTATTCTTACGTTGCCTGTTCCTCGGAGGTTCCTCGGGTCCTTCAGCTTCCCTGGTCCTGTAATTTGATGTGGTTCCTCAAGTTCCCCTCTCTCGTTTCTCGCATCCCCCAGCATTGCCAAGCAATGTCAAGCAATGCCAGGCAGCGCCGATAAATGCAAGGACATGCCAACCCATGCAAAGCAATGGCACGCACTGGCACGCAATGCCAAGCACCGCCAATCAATGCCAACCCATGCCACGCAATGCCAAGCAATGCTAACTAAGCTGCCAAGCAACGCAGATCACTGCCAAGCAACGCCAAGCAGTGCCGAGCAACGCAAGGCGAGGCGCCAGGCGCTGCGCCAAGAAACTTTCCCCTCATTTGGGTCGCGCCGGGTTCGTTTTCGGATCATACGCCCTGCGAAATGCTTAAGAAATCATGGGTGAAGAAATTCATAGTCTCAGAATTTGAATAAAAACCCAAAACTTCTATTAAAATCGTAGGATTGACATTGAAACATGAAGAATAAACGAGACTCTGGCCGAAAACTGAAGTTCTCTTAAGCATCGCCTAGGGTGTAGCTCTGGTTCTCCACCGGCCGTTCGGGACGAGCCTGGCACCTCCTTGGGACGCCTTCCGGCGAGGCACCCGCTGCTGGCACGCACTCCGAGGCGGGAGAGCCCTCGAGCACCAGCGCACAAGGCCGAACGCCTCCAACCTCGAGCATCTCCTCCCCTATGAAGGGGTCCAGGACACACATGCCCCATATTTTCCCATATTTTCGGGGTTTTTGTCTTCCCCCCACTTCGCATATTTTCCCATAATTTCCTGGGAATCGACGATGAATTGTGTCTGTGTGTTTTTGTTTCCCCTCCTGACCCTGGTCCTGTCTCCCCCCCAGCCAGAGGGACCAGAAGCTGCGACAAAAACACTTGAGCTGTCGGAGCTCCGCGCGGATCTCTCGGATCGGCGCTGGGCCCCCGTGCCCCCCTTCCCTGGCGAGCGGAGCGCGCCAGGGGCAGCGCAGGAGGCGCCGAGAGGGGCGCACGGCGCCGACGTGTCCGCCAATTCTGAAGGGACCCAAGGACACACACACGACACACACACAGACACAGGCACAGACACAGACAGACACAGACACAGACACAGACACAGACACAGACACACACACACACAGACACACAGACAGACAGACACAGACACAGACACAGACACAGACACAGACACAGACACAGACACAGACACAGACACAGACACAGACACAGACACAGACACAGACACAGACACACACACGACACACACACAGACAGACACAGACACAGACACAGACACAGACACAGACACAGACACAGACACAGACACAGACACAGACACAGACACAGACACAGACACAGACACAGACACAGACACAGACACAGACACAGACACAGACACAGACACAGACACAGACACAGACACACACACAGACACAGACACAGACACAGACACAGACACAGACACAGACACACACACACACACACACACACGCACGCACGCACGCACGCACGCACGCACGCACGCACGCACGCACGCACGCACGCACAGTCAAATACACGCGAAGACCAGGAGTCCTCACATTCTCCCACATCTTCTGGATGTTCGCGTCTTCCCCACCACTTCCCACTACCCTCGTCAAAATTAACCTCAACAGTTGCTGGCACGTCATTTCGATTTCGGCGCGCCCCTCAATGTCGACACGCCGCCCCTTCAATGTCGGGGCGAGGGCAAAGATAGTCTGACCGAAGTTGACTCGAAAGCTTGACGTCGACCGACATGGGAGGGGCGGCGCATGCAAGTGCCCCGCACTCGTCGATACTCGGCCCCAGATCTTCCGACAAGCAGTTCAACCACGTCAGACATTTTTAAGTTTCATTTTGACGAGGAGGAGGCGGAGGAGGAGGAGGAGGAGGAGGAGGAGGAGGAGGAGGAGGAGGAGGAGGAGGGAGGAGGAAGGAGAGGGGAGGGAGGAGGGAAGGAGGGGAGGAGGAGGAGGGAGGAGGAAAGGAAGGAGAGGAGGAGGAGGAGGAGGAGGAGGAGGAGGAGGATTTTAACGAGGGACTCGCTGCGCCTGTGCCTCCCCCCCCTCACAAGACCGACGCCCCCCCTGCGTCGGGCAGCCGTCGCGCGGCGCGGCATAGCGGCCGGGCCGCACCAGCGCGTTCACGCCTCACGAGCGGCTCCTCCTCCTCCTCCTCCTCCTCCCTCCCTCCTCCTCCTCCTCCTCCTCCTCCTCTCCTCCTCCTCCTCCTCCTCCCTCCCTCCCTCCCTCCCTCCCTCCCTCCCTCCCTCCCTCCCTCCCTCCCTCCCTCCCTCCCTCCCTCCCTCCCTCCCCCCTCCCTCCCTCCCTCCCTCCCTCCCTCCCTCCTCCTCCTCCTCCTCCTCCTCCTCCTCCTCCTTCTCCTCCTCCTCCTCCTCTCCTCCTCCTTCTCCTCCCTCCTCCTCCTCCTCCTCCTCCTCCTCCTCCTCCCTCCTCCTCCCTCGTCCTCCTCCTCCTCCTCCTCCTCCTCCTCCTCCTCCTCCTCCTCCTCCGGCTACACACAGTCGAGACGTGGACGTAAGGAACCCTAAATAAGGAACGAGGCCCCTTTTTCCCATCAGTTCAAGTTCGACCTCCCATCGGAAACCTGAGGAAAACCAAAGGCGAGCTCTGGAATAATCAAGGAACGCGGAGCCCCTCCCCAACGAGAAGGGTTCCTTCTTCAGCGCCCCGACTGTATAGCGTGTCGCTTCGCTCCGCGGGGCGGGCGCCTGGGCAGAACAAAACAAAAAAGTCGGGGCGCGGACGCTCGGCGACTGGGGCGCGGAGAGCGCGCCGCGCCGAAGCGGGGGTCGGGGGCGCGCACTTTGTGGGCCCCGGAAACGGCAGGGCCGTTTTTTTGAGGGATGGAAAAACGACCCTACCCTGGGTTACAAGTGCGTGGTCTGTAAACCTCCTGGGAACCCCCAACGCCTAGAGCCGCCAGGACGCGGCACATCACGCAGGGTTTACCCTGTCAGCCCACAGGAGGTTCAGAGCACAGCGCCTCGTAAAGCAGGGTAGGGGCGTTTTTTCTGCCCTTGAGTTTTTTCACCGTTTCCAGAAAAAT